TACTCAGCCTACATGTGGGAGAAAAGACAGGTTTGCTTTCACAATCCTCTTAAAACACAAAGCGGGGAGAGGAACATGGCACTCTCCAGATGTTTCTGGACAACACCTTCATTCACTCCTGTCTAGGGCTGATGGGAGTTGCAGTCACACAATACCTGAAGGGTCATTTGTCCTCCAGCTCCACCATGGAAGCTAAAGGGGAAAAGAACCTTGCTTGTAATTCTCAGGTTTGCAAAAACACAAAGAGCATTTATCAGATTTTCAGTTACCATAACTAAAGATTGTCAGCCCTCTGTTTGTCTGTCTGTCTCTTTCTCACACACATAGAGCCCTCCATTCTTCTCTCTAGAGTATACATCTCTCTTAAGACAGGGTGTAATTCTCTAGTCTTGTATAACCCATCCAAAATCTCTCTCCCCACAGAAGATGTCAAGGTGTGGAAGGGGTAACTGCTGCTTACCAGTTGGGAGGAGAGAAGAGTGTCATGTCCTGCTTACAGAACATGCAGGGCACCTGTTCGGACCTGCTGCTAAACCAGAACAGGAGGTTCCAGAGCCACAAGTTTCAGATACAGACCAGAGTGCAGTACCAGCTCTAGCAGAGAGCCCTGCCCATTCAGTACAGAAGACCACTTACCCCACCTACCTTCACCGAGTGGAGATAACAAAGGGGAACTTGAGGAGGTCTCAGAGGATTTATAGGAAGCAGCAATTAACAAAGCAGCAGCTGCCTTGAGCTGCTGATCTATAAATCCCCAGCCCTGCCCTCCAGGAGTTGTCGAAGATTATCTGACGTACCTGGCTCCCCCGTTGTGTTCCTGAACTCTGCTTGACCTGGACTGTGTTTGTTGACTCTGGATACTGTTTACCTGACTTGAACATTGCTGAACTCTCTTGCCGGACCTGAAGCTTGTGAATGAACTCTGTTTGGGACTTAAGGCTTTGTTTGCTAAGCAAGGTAGGTACTGCACTGTAACCTGTTGTTACTTTCATAGAATCATAAAATCATACAGTTGGAAGAGACCTCAAGGACTAGCAAGTCCAACCCTGACATGTAGGAATACACAAAGTACTCCAGACAGATGGCCATCCAGCCTCCATTTACTTTGCTTGCTCCTTAGCTGATACTGAGTCCCTGCTATCAGCTATGTAGCAACTAGCCTTTGGCTCTGGTTGCCTTAACTGTGTTTAGACACAGAGAGCGGAGACAATTCAAACAAGGAAGTCTGGGCTCCTAGGGGAAGGAAAAGGAGGCCACAGACCATCTATGAGCACACACTCATTGCTCTCTTCCCCCAGGCTGAGACCAGCTGCTTTTCCATTACTGGAATTGCCCCCTCCCTCCCTTCCCTTCCCTTCCATCATCATCCTCAGCAGCAGAAGGAGGCCCCTCCTGGAGCTTGACAGGTATGTTGGGGAGGACACAGAATTGTGTGAGCAGAGCAATATCCCTTGCTTGTTTGAAGTATGGTCTTGGCCAGTCCTGATCCTTCTAAACCTGGTGAACCAGATGGCGAGAAAAGGTACATGTCTCCTAGAAAGAGAAACCTGGACTCACCCTCTGGGGGAAGGTGCACAGCGATTCCTTAAATCAAGCACTTGTTCTTCACCTTAGCCAAGAGAAGCTGAGACTGTGCATTCTCTCCTCCCAAGTAGGCCCCGCCAGATAGAGAGCTGAGAAAGAGACAAACAGAAATGGTGTCTGATGTTTACATAACTAGGCAGGTATGACTGGATGGCAATTGGCACAGTTCCTTCTCTGAAGATGCGTTTCTTTCCCCCGTTTAGCAGGCCTCAAACACACCCTACTGGAAAGGTCTCTTTAGGCAAAACCTTGGCCCTTCTGACTCACATGTGGAAGAGAACGTCCCAAGCTCAGGTGCACCTCCCTGTGCCGCCTGAGATTGGTTTGTGAATTTGTTGCCACAGCAAGGAGCCTGGGAGCAAGACCTGTGGCTCTGAGAGAGGAGAAGTGAGGGAAATGGTGCGCAGTGGATGTGGGGAGGTGGACACACGCACACCATGGCACACTTTGCCAGAGGCATAGTGTTCAAGCAACCACCATTATTGGTGGCATCAGCACAGCAAGGGGTTCTATGGTGCCCGAAAGATGTTAATTAATTTCATTATGGCTGGGGTCCCCAAACTTGGCACCCACGGCCAACCAAGATGCCCATGGACACTTCCTACAGGCTGAGACCCAAAGTCACTACCCAGTGGGTTTCCATGACCAAGCAGGAATCCGAACCCTGGCGTCCAGAGTCCTAGTCCAACATGCAACACACTACACTTTGCTGGCTCTGCTCACCCTCCTCCAGTCTCTTACTGATGACAACATGCACCACTTTGGAAGTGAAAAAAGTTTCCTTGGGTTGAGGTGGAAAGGAGAAATGAATTGGCTGTCATCGGCACTGGTGTCAAGAGTGCTAGTAACCTGGCTTGGCATAACATCCCTGCCAAGACTGATACATGGGCATGAGCTGGCATGCAGAACATGCCTCTTGAGTCTGAAATCTGTTTGGAAAGGAAGGCAGGAAGGCTGCAGCCTCCAAATGCACTCAATTTGTAATCTGCCCAGGCAACATGGTCTCACGAAAAGCCCCTAAGATCAAGCACCTGAGCAAGCCTATTTTGGAAAAGCAATGAGTATACGAACTCCAACTTACCACTCCAGTTAAGATGGCTCCTTTATTCAGGGAAAAAAGAGGTACATTGATTAGATTATTGGCTGTAAACAATTCCACAGAAAGAGCTTGACTCCCCGGGGCTTTGAGCAACTGGCAGCCTTCCATACTCTGCATCTCACGGAGAAGGAAATGACCCTGAGCAGACTGTCTGGCACTGAAAAGCTCAGAGGGCCTTAGGGTACCTCCAAGACTGATACGTTTTTATTTAGCATAAGCTTTTGTGGATTAGAGTTCACTTCCTCCGTTGCAGGAGTGTCCTTGAGACTGGTTAAAGGTCATTACATATTAGCCCAAAGTCAAGAGTGGCCAACCACTGGCTTTCCAGATGTTTTTGGGCTGCAATTGTCACTGCCCAAATGAGGTGATGGGCTGGATTTTGTTGTACCCAACTCCAGCAGCCTCAAGCCAGCAGTGCACAGTGGTGAGGAACGTTGGGCATTGCAGTCCAGCAATACCTGGAGGGTTGCAATGATTTTGACGCCAGGCTGAGACAATGCTCTGAAGGTCCTGGTGCACAAATGGGATGGTGCTGCAGAAACGTCCTGCTGTGATAATCCGATTTGCTCACAGAATGCCCAAACTCCAGGTCAGGAGATAGACCCCTCTGGAAACTGCTGCCAGTCTCAATAGGGTCACATGTGGGACGCTGGCAGTTCAGAGAGAAAGGAGCCCACAGCAACATCAGGCAAGGAAGGCGGGCTTTGGGGGGGGTGCATTATTACCTTTAGAGCCTTGTCCAAACATTTCCAAACTGCTTTGAATTAGTGTTTTTAATAGGACTGCTTATTTAATGGCTTAAAAAGAAATCTTTTGTGACATACTGTATATTGTTGTTGTTGTTTTACCTGTATCAGGTGTCTTCTCTTTTAACCTATGCTGTGAACAACCTTGGACCCCATACTGGGAGAAAAGCGGCATAAAAATAGACTTTAAAACAAACAGGCAGACCAGGGGTTTGAGCGACCGCAAAATAGAGGCTGCATCTAGACTGCAGAAATAATCCAGTTTGACCCTACTTTAACTGCCATGGCTCAATGTTACAGAATTTGGGGAACTGTAGTTTGTGAGATATTTACCCTTCTCTGTCAGAGAGCTCTGGTACTATAACAAACTACATATCCCAGAATTCCATCTCACTAAGCCTTGGAAGTTAAAGTGGTGTTGAAGCGGATTAATTCTGCAATGCAGATGCAGCCAAAGAGACCAGGCAGCAGTGAAGGGTTCCTGGTCCTGCCTACAAACTTCCCTCCCAGCCCTCTCACCTCAACCCCTGTCCCATTTCAAGCCCTACTGTCTCCTTTGGGGCCTGGCA